GTTACCTAACATTATACACTTGTATATATATATTTCATAAATAAAGTTTCGCTTCTAATCTTCTCGTAAGAAAGCATGTTTCATTATCGCGCGATAAAAGTTATCGTACCGACGTTATCAACTTTATCCCCGTTTCAATAATCGTCGCGGTGGCAATCGTAAAAAAAGCGATCGTACGATAAGAAATGACGCCAGGTGTTTCGAATGCTCGCTAGACGCGAGTTTTCGCAATGAGAAAGAAGTTTGTAAAACTTTGCGATCCTCGCGCGATGTTTTCACTTGTTGCGCGCCAGGAACAACGATGATCGATGATCTTCCCGTATCGTTTGAGATAACCACAAACCGCAAACATCGTGCGATATTTATCGCCGTGAGAATATGTTTATTATCATCCTGATATCTGATATCGATATTTCTAATAATACCACTTTCCCTTTTCATCACGTGCTTTCGCTCCGCATATTTCTCCCCGTCATACTTTAAATATAAATCGCTTTAAACTTTAATCGGATGCTCGTGTGTTATATTGCGCACTTCTGACATTGATATTAATTTTAACATTTTTACAAATATGAGTATTATTATTAAAACATTAATCTTACATACGACAAATATTGGTCTTGCGATCGTTAATTATTTATTGTCGACTTGAAAAATTAAATAATTATTTCTGAATATATGACCATGTCTGTGTCCATCTGTCCGCCTCTTAAATTTTTACGTGAGTTTTGCGTTTCGCGAATGACTTCGGCAGGGATGTCGGAGGGCAAGTAAAAGGAAGATACAACTAGAGAAAATGGCGAAAGAAGGGCTCGCGGGAGATGAATTTATGATTAATGTCGCGAGACAGTCGAGTAATGAAAAAAAATACGCTTGGCTGCTGCGAAAGTAAAGGGCCGTAAAATCTAATGAGATGGGTTTCATCGGGATCTCTGAAGGAGACCAGTCTCTGCGCATGGAACCCTCTCGGCACCAATATTAGCTTTCTCGGACAGTATTATACAGAGTGTTTGAAAACGGCCGCAATTCAACAAAAGGATATTTTTCATTGAAAATTAAAATGATTTTTTTTAATTATCATGATATCTTTTTTTACTCGACATATGCTTTTTGAACGCTTGTACGATATCTTTTTTCCTCTCGATAATAAAGATTTTATTATTATCGCTATTATTATTTAGTTATTTTTTTATAATTTTTAAAGTTAACATTTTCAACAATTTTCGAATAAAATCCAGCAAGTAGTTTTAAGTGATTATTCACTTATTTTGACATACGAGTATATTAGTATCAATTCATTCACTGAAAAAAATTGTATTTTCAACTTAAGAATATGTCACTTAGAATAATCTTTAGAATATATATTAAAATAGGCGCTAAGAGGATCTCCTCGTGGCGCCTACTTTAATATATATTCTAAAGATAAGTGGCATATTCTTAAGTTGAGAATATAATGTTTTCAGTGTCATATTCGCGAACGGATTTTCAACATCTTGTAAAAGGGCGAAAACGGATATAGTCGGTGGTACCGATTAGCATGAACAAAATTGTCTCTACAAAAAACGACAGCAGCATCTTCGACACCGTGTTGCTTCACGATTTCTCGTTCACCGTTCCTTTGTCGTCGTGTACTGCTTACGAAATTCACGGCCTTGAAGTGTAACATGAACACGTGGAAAGTTGTAACTGCGCCGGCAAAGATAATAACAAACACACGCAGATAATAATGGCATGCCATTATTTGCACGTCGGATAAAAGTATTTTCATGATTATCTCACGAATGATTGATATACTCGTGCATGATAAATAGAAGTGCCGTGGATTTTAATCACATTCTTAAATTAGTGACAATTGTAAAATGTACGCAAAAAAATTTGCAAACGTCCTATTAAGAGAGCGTTCTCATTTCAAGGGAGAATTGAGAAGCAATTGTAAGAGATATCGGATATTCTACATCGGTGCATAATTAACTTGCAATTTATGTTTCGAGTAATCGCACGTGACTATCTTTCTTCTTTTCTATCTTTCTTCTGTCTTTCGTCTTTATTCGCCTTTATTATCGAAATAATTCCTTAATAAATAATACACGCATCATATATAACGCGAGTTTGTGTCTATTCGTATCTGGCAACATATCGCGATGATGGGTTCACAGTCCGTAATCTTTCGTGCCAAATTTTCCAAGTTTCTGTCCAATTAGAACCGATTCGTAAATTACCACATCGCAAAGTATGCTAATACACGACGAAAAAAGTCGGCACAAGAAATTCGCGCGTCAGCTACATGTGTGATACCATCGCATTAAGTTGTATGTGCTCTACGCTTTGCTTAACAACTTCCGATGATTAAATTGATAAAGGAAAGGTAGCAATTACATTTTTAATTAACAAATTAAATTATCAGCAAAAAACTCATTTCATAATATATTTATTATATCTTTGCGCTATTATATAAAAAATATAATTATATACTTTATTTATATGCATTTTTATAAACATATAAGTTATCTATCGATACGAATGTTTTATTGCTTATTGACGGAATATTAATATAAAATCACTTTGCATCGCGACATGAGTTTGAAGTTTAGCTGCTTGTCGCACGACAAATATTATTTGTACATCAAATAATACGACGCACATCACAGTGTTCAGTCCATTCAAGGGCATTTACTAGTGTTAACTGTAACCGCCAGTTTTTTTTGGCACGGTCATTCACATTCTCCTCTGCTTCCTCGTCTTTTCTCTCGCGCACAAACTGCGCAGTAAACAAATCCAAGTACATTTACCTCGTACTATCGACTCGATTTTTTTTCTTGTCATTCCTTCTCCACTCGCTAAATCGCTCGAGGCGTTTAACGACGCGTGTAATAAGCAAATACTCTTTCATCGCATCTTTCACGCGCTTCTCCACGGTCTAGTTGTGTCCTACGTGCAAACCTCAATGGACGTAAATATTTGAAATTATTATCGAATCAAATTCCATTCATTGAATCAAGTTGAAATAATTCTTGACAAATCGGTGTGATTAAAACTTATCGATACAATTTTTTTTATCAATACGAGCCTAATAATGTGCTGCAGTCATCATGATGATAAAGGCACAAGTAAGAAGATATTATCGAAGAGTGAAACAACAATCTGAGTAAATTCGTTTTCTGATGGATTGATATAAACTTTGATTTTGATATGCGTGGTTTGAGATTTATTAGATAATAAATATGCTGAATGTGTTTTTAATGCATTTGTTTCATCAATGTGCTTCTTAATATTTTAGAATTCTTATCTTATCAATTTGACTTCTAGTGCCTTTATTATATCTTCGTCTTTAACGTTCTACATATAACTTGTAATTTTAAATATAATCAAGAATCTAAATCAAAATTGATTATTCGCGGAAGCCACATGCTCATCGCGATATATATAAAAATACAAAAAAAATTTAATATTAAATATTTAAAATATTACGTAACATATTTTTATATAAATTGTACAATGTCATTTGTAATATATAAATAGATGAAAGAAAAATATTATAGAGAAATCGATTAAAAATATGGAAAATTTGATAAGTACACTTATCCAAAACTATTTAAAAATTTATTTTTTTTCTCTGAGTAAAAACTAAAAAATAATAATATATGAGCTATATATTATTATTTTTATATAAATAATATACAAAAAATATAAAAATAGTTTAAAAGCTTTTTAAATAAAAAACAGAAATACATAAGGCACATTCTTATCGCTATCATATCATGCAGGACATAAATAAAAAAAAATAATCAAAATATAATCTGCTCGTGCACATCCATTACTCAACTTGAATTTAGAGGCTTTAATAATTTAAATAACAGCTATTACAAATATAAGCACATGTGTCAGTAAGCTTGACTTACCGTTTTTTATTTTGATTCAAGCAAAGATTAAATTACCATTCGAGAACTATACGATCGTCCTATCACGTTTCCGCGAATGACGGCAGAATTAATACACTTGTCGCGAGACAGCCCGTTATTGCGTAATGTCAAAGCAAAAAAATATGACAGTTTGTTAACATTGTTGGATTAGAAAATTAAATCCCTTACATTTCAGTAATTTAAAAATTGCATAAATAAAAGTTCATAAAAAAAAAGTTGTAAAAGAATTTCATAAGTATATATATAATCCAAATACAGATATCTATGAAGTAGCATAGAAAATGCATCTTACCTCATATGGACAATATACTCATATGTATATCCAAAGCTACACTGCAAACATACGTATAAATGGCATAATATTCAAGAAAGAGTGGATTAATAAAACAAACCTTGATCACAACAACGTTCGACATGTAAGAAACATTGATTAGTAAACATTAATTAGTTACAGATACATTCGGAAGAACATCCGTCGCGAATGTGAATGAATTCGATGATGCTTTCCACGTTGCTTATAAGCAAAATTTATATGTCAAGTCAGAGATAAACTCAAAACAGGAGCTTATCATTAAAATAGCATTAAAAAAAACTTATTAGACTTGCTCGTTGAAGCTGCAATGTGTTTCGATCACACGAGTGTATCGAGTATCGACGATAATTAAAAGTGTCTCATCTGGTATTGTAATAATTATCGAAAAGTGATTATTCGTTGAGCTGTCACGTGCTTAATGGAATGCGACCTCGATAACCGCGACACGAAATATAAAAGTTGGAGCAATTCGATACATGTCAAATCGATTTCGCGTTGAGAAAGCGATAGAGTAAGCCTCCGTCTCTTATTCGAGTTATGATCATTTAGGCTCGAGATTTTAGAAGCGAATGCATTGCCAGATACGTCGTTTGATAACGCATCGCAGTTAGAGTCAGTAGCGGCAAAAAATTCTTGTTTTTTTTTTTTTTTTTTTTTTTTAATATTATCGTCGCTACCGTTATCATTCTCCACATTGATTAATCGTTATATGAACACAGGTGTATAGAGTTTGCTCAAGAGAAAAATTAAGCGCGGATCAAACTTACTGCAAATCCTCGACAACCAGTTTTGAGACAAACTGCAACAATCGATGTAATCGATAATGTCATCAAAATCCGACAATAGCGCCCCATTTTGATCCTTTTTGCACTTGCTTGGACTATCCTCGATGCGAAGATGACAGGGATGAACTTCTGATCGCTCCGAACATTCCACACCTGGGATCTCTGTCGGATCTTCTTCGATGGCGCTCGTTAGCAAGGAAACATCAGCTGAGTCTCCTGCCATACCGACGGCACTGCAATCAAGTTTAGCAATGGTTACAACAATTATTACGAAAGCAAATTAAATAAATAACGATAACCGCGTCCAACGATAATCCATTTTCGTAATTGATGTATTTAATTTATTTCGAGACAAAAATGTCGGGAGACCGCACGATAAGTTGATAACAAATTAAGCAAGGTGTCACAGTACGTCAAGATAAGGCGCAAAGTAATAATAAATAATCGAAAATTTATCGCTTTATTATGCAAAATTGCACTATTTACTGTTGAGCATTTTTGGAGTTTAAATGAGTTGAAGTGCGTGTGAACGAGAGATAGCACTTCAAAGTTAACGCAATTCTGTGAAAATGAGATGAGGAACGTACGCGCGGACGTTATCATGTAACGCATTTAGCGTGCGATAACCCAGATTGCGGCACCTATAAAACGGGTTATCGCGTCACATGAAAAATTACCCTTATCGCTGATATTACGCGCTCAAAGATAGACATCGCGCGATACACCCTGACCCCACTCAGACAACGACGATGACGGTTTTACTATCGGCGCGTAATCAATCGACGTCTCCCGGTTATCGGTTCACGGTATACATTTACGGTACAAGCATCTCCGAAGCCGGCGGCGGCTCCGAGCACTGTTTTATCAAAGGCGGCGAGAACCGCTCCCCGCGATCGCGGCAGCTGCAGTTGCCGCCGCGGACAAGGACGTTTGCCAAGACGAAGAAGCGCGCCTTTCTCGAAGGAGTGGACCCGCCGCGGGCTCCTGACAAAGGGCAGCACGGGTTTTCGTCATCCGAGTACGACGACGAGTCGGGAAAGGAGGTATCGATCCGACGTGCCGGGCTCAATAATTCCAGCAAGGGTCCCTCTCTCGGTCCTTTAACGCGAGAATGCAATTTGTTAGCTCCTGCGCGATGCACACCGCGTGCCCACCGCGATTCTCTTCCTTATTCTCCTCCTGTCGTTCACACGCGATCGTGGTGGGTCGGTCTTTGGGTTCTCTTTATCCTCCTTCGTCTGGTTCAAGAGCATTGATCCTATTATTAATTAGGAAGATGAGAGATCGACCTTTGGCATCGATGCTCCGATTATAAAGATTCGATAGCGACGCATTGATGTCGATTATTAACTCGCGAAAATGAGATTATTTTTCGTGATGCTATTATGTGAGCAAATTTATTCAATGTATAAAATTAATCGAATTTTTCGTAGCCTCTTGTAAGAGAACGGTTTCGCTTTGGCCGAGTATTTTAGAATCTGTGAAGTCGGTATGCGCGATCAGCTGTGCCAGAACTCGTAAATATTCACCCGCGCACCAGTTCTAACTTTACGGCTATTATCGCCACGCTTGTTGGAAACGTATCCTTAATTGCAATATCATTCGAACCAATAGAGAGAGAGAGAGAAAATTTGATTAAGCAAATACGATATCAATAGTAGTGATAATGAGACGATTTCACGATTCACGAATGAAAATCTCGCCTGCAAAACAACTTTGAGCAAACGCGAGATTTTACAATTTTTTAATTCACGGTTGCGATATTTAAAAGTACACGCTCCAGAAATTTTACCTGACAATTAGTGCATTAATCGGATCGAACAAGCAGCTTTGAAAAATATGTAAATTTTTTTTAAACGATACAACAATTTCGATTTATGTGTTCGATCGCCTTGACTATTTATCATTTATATCTAAAGCTATGAAAACTGAAGCTTCATTTTACATATATGTACGAGAAACACAATATTGTTTTTTCATGCATTAAGGAAGAATGTTATTACCTACGATAATATCTAACGAACTTGTCGTCCGATCGCATGAACCGTCAAGGTCCGAACGGGGTCGAGATGTCAGAAAGGACAAGTGGTCGTAATACAAGCAGAGAAACGAGTTTCATACTAGCCAGAAGTTTCCCCGAGATTGCCAGTTACAAGAATAGTACCTCCGGTTTATCCTAGCGCCACCCCCGCCCCCTCCAAAAACCGATATCTCGTCCGGAGCAAAGTTCGAATAAGTTGGTGGAGACGCAGGAAACGTAGAGAAAAAAAGTTGATACCGCGAAATCGATATGGATGTCACTGCTTGTTTTCTCGAAACAGGTGTCACCAATTTCGCGATGTATAAAATCGATTACACGTTTGTAGTACCTTATACCTTATACTTTTTTCATAACAAATATATACCTTATACTTATATTTTTCATTACGCATCTGTGAATTTTTTGCGAATACAATATGTCAATTGGTTATTATTGAATTGGCGAAGAGAGCTTATTTCGCCATTATTACGCCACCTGTCAAAACTTTAATTTCCGTAAGAGCGTCGCGGGAAAAATTTCTTCTCTGTTCCTGAATTTTCGCTCCTAATGTCTCTTCCATGCTGCGGCGTTTACGTACGTTGACACGAGCTCGCTTGACGCCCGACGACGTTGAGGGACGTGTACACCTTCGGCCTTTTCCCGCCTTTTATTTCAACGACAAAAAAAAAACGATGGCATTATCCGTGCGCGTCGACACGATATCGGGGGCTCGCAAAAATTTCCCGCAATAATTCGTATTTTTCAGCAAATCATAGACAAGGATTCGATAGATCGAAAACGAGCTCACGTTTTACGATCAATTAATCGCAAGAAATGTGACGATATAAAATACGAGCAAAGCATGTTAAAGGCTTTTAATCTTTTCAAATTCAATTCGCTATTTTTCTAAAAAAAGATTTATATTTTTTATTACAAGACAAGTAAAAAATCGTTAAAAATTTCTCGCACGTACACAATTTTGAATTTCGAAATGTTTATTTATTATATAAATTATTTTCGAAGAAAATCATACAATAATAAATGAAAAATGCTTCGAACAAATAAAGAGAAGAGAGAAAAACTCTTGGACAACCTGTTCGAGTTTTCGTTTAGTGCTCGACAAATAGGACTGAAAGTTAAAACTGACCGAAAGTTTCTTCAAGATGACTCGGACAGAGAAAGACAAAGAAAGGGAAAGAAAAAAACGGCGGCACTCTCGACTTTACGGTACCGCCGATTCGAAAACCAAGAGTTACGCAAAACGGATAGTTCAACGAGATATGTACCTCGCATCGTTTATCGACATTTACTGGCGAAAGAGAAGGTAAATTACGCGCACGTATACCTCGTTCGTTATACGAGCTGCTACGCGCGCAGTAAAATTACGACAATATTTTGCTTTCGAGTTGGGTGTTTGTGTTCAACAATCCATTGAACGCTCGATAATGGATGCAAGCATACTTTTTTATTGAAAATTGAACAAAAATATTTTCTAACGAAATCCAATCTTACCGATATCATATTATAATTGTAATTGGTAAATTTAATTAGTTTCATGAAAAAATAACTAAAAAAAATGTGATAAGAAATATGAAGGGAAAACACGTAATGTCACGCGCGCTTTATCGATGTTTTTGACCGCGGCCACTGACACATGATCGATTCTTAATGCAAAACCACCATTGATGGGCTCGGTCTGTCGTCACCTATTTTTCTACACGATGATAAATGCACTCACAATCTGTCCCGATCATCAATCTTATCTTCACCGAGTTTTTTCTTCTAAGATTAAAAATAACATATTCGAGGTGACTAATGTGACGCCCGCGACATGTGTTATGTCCTGAAAATAACGGAACTATCGAAAATCTTATGAAAGTATTTGAAAAATATATTTCAAGATGTGTATATTTTTCTTGATATGCAAAAGAAATCAAAATCTGCAAGGATAAAAATAAAAGTTTTTAATGATTTGTATGTTAATAAAATAGTTTTTAATATCTTATTATTTTATTACGTCAATGCAATTATAAAATATCCATAAACGTAAAATTATAGATTGTATTGGTCGTTTACCTTTTTATCCATTAAAATCTGGATTCGCAATCTGTAGATATCGATTATAGAGTTTCTTTCCAGTCGATTGTGTGATCAAAATTATTCCGTGAAAATAATAAGAGCAAAAATCGCATGAAAGCGACTGCTCTGCGTAACTTTATCGCGCGATGTAATCCTCACAAAGAATCCGTTTTTTTCGCATACATATTGCCGCTACTGTGGGCCGTCACGTTTGAAAGCCCTCGCACGCGGGGATTATAAATTCGGCGGTGGAAACTCTCGCCGGCGATACGAACGCGCAACCTGTATGAACATTCCGCGGCGATCGACTTTACGAAGCCAATTTTGTCTGGTAACATTCAAGTGAGGTTGTAGCCTCGGGGAAATTCACCTCGCCACCCTTTCCCTCTTTTTTCTCTCTTTTTCAAGTCGCCATCTCTTATCCGGAGCTCGAATCCTTTATTCGTGCGGTGCGTTGGTGTCTCCTCTCTTCCTCCATTATCGCGGAAATCCCCGCTGAAACGCACGCGTAAAAAGGCCGTTCGGAGTAAGGTGACAAATGGTCATACGCGCAAACACTGGATCCCCGAGATTGCGCGGGAAATGTATCGAATGTTTGCCGCTTCTAACGCGTTCACGTAACCCTCTCTTGATTTTTCTACAAGGTTTTTTCGCTTTCCGCAGCTCGCGTTTCCGACAGACTTGGCGCGATTTGTCGGGAAATAACTTTTAATTATTCCAAAGGAATTTATAAGTCGCGTATCACGTGACGAGATCATATTCATAGGTGTGAATCTTATTCGATTTTTAGTAGATGATTTCATGTAGATTCACATCTACCGAATAATTGCAATGTAATGCGATCGATCGATCGCGTGTCTCCCGTGACATTCTCGGCAAACATTCCCTCTTTCTTTCTCCCTTGCGATCCGTAGTCAATTTCCCCGGGTACACAATATCGGCGCCAAAGCTGCCAATCCGAAACGCGAAATCGGATAGCTCGTCTCGCGAAGACTTCCACTTCCGCACTCGATAACAACCGGCGTTTTCTTCGCGTCCGCATCGTCAAAGGTCGCCGTCACCTGCCTCTTCCCCGACGAACGCTATACATTCTACTGACACGCGATCTCGTACGGAGATTCTCTCCGAGATTCG